TCATGCTCTTCCTCTCAGTGCCATAAACCCAGAGGTACCCCTGAAAGTCTGAGCCGGAGGTGCTGTTGCAGGTGGTATCATCTAAACTCTCTAATCAGTCAAGTCGCTATGCCATTTGCTTTGTCAGTTAAGTGACTCAGGGGAAATCAGGTAGGAGAGTGGGAAAATAAACTGTTTGCTCAAGCTGATAAATGTGAATCTTCAAACTCTATTTCAAATGCAGAAATTATATAGGCTGTGCTTTGCCTTTCAGGAACCTCTTTCAGAGCTCGTGTACAGTGTGTAAGAGGGACAGAGGGAGTTACCAGAACACACGCTGGACTTTAGCCCGGCTCTAACTCTGCTTGCAGGTGCCTTCTCCTACCAATGATGATTTAGTGTCCACAGATGGTGCCTGTGCAGCCCTGTTTCCAGCTGGGTGGGAGGGCATGCTTCACAGAGCCAACACCTGCCACTCTGCTTCTGTCTGAGCCCTCAGAAGCCTGGTTTTCAGTTTAAGGAATCAATCCCAATCCAGGCAAGCACTTACAGCTCAGGGCGTTGATCTTTGCTTGGCAAAAGCCCCAACTGCTGAGTTCTAGATACTTTGCCATTTCTCCCTTATCTGCCTTCTTTCATACAAGCTCAGCTTGTATGAAACCAGAACTAGCATTTTCTCCCTGTTTGGAACCCACTTTCTCATTCCTTGAGTGTGTGTGAGAGGAATGGGGGTGGGAATGAGATGGGTTGGGGAAGGAAGGACAGAAGTTTAATGGAAAAACAAGAACAGAGTCAAAGCACATTTATGGGCTGGACACTGTGGCTCACACCTGTAATCTCAATGCCCTGGAAAGCTGCGGCGGGAGGACTGCTTGAGGCCAGGAGTTCAAGACCAGCCTGGGCAACATAGTGAAACACTGTCTCACAAAAAAATACAAACAAAAAAACTAGCCCAGCTGTGGTAGCACCTGCCGGTGGTCCCAAGTACTTGGGAAGCTGAGGCAAGGGGATTGTTTGAGCCCAGCTGCAGTGAGCTATGACTGTACCACTGCACCCTAGCCTGTGCAACAGAATGACACCTGGTTCCTAATAAATAAAATGTATTTATGCTATATTTAAAAACTTTTTCTCAGCTGGGCACAGTGGCACACGTCTGTAATCCCAGCACTTTGGGAGGCTGAGGCAGGCGGATCACCTGAGGTCAGGACTTTGAGACCAGCCTGGCCAACATGGTGAAATGCTGTCTCTACTAAAAATACAAAAATTAGCTAAGTGTGGTACACATGCCTGTAATCCCAGCTACTTGGGAGGCCGAGGCGCAAGAATCACCTGAACTCAGGAGGCGGAGGTTGCAGTGAGCCGAGGATCGCATCACTGCACTCCAGCCTGGGTGACAGAGTGAGACTCTGTCTCCAAAAAAATAATAACAAAATAAAAACTTTTTCCCAAAGAGCTCTGAAATGGAAAAAGAGTACAGAATAGCTTCAATTCAATGATGGCAAAATAAAAATTTCTAACATAGTCTAACTGGCACACTCTGGATGATACAGGAAACACAATGACATCCTTGCTGTTTTTAAATGAGCAGCTCGAATTGTTGGTATGAGACGCAAACAATTAACATCTAAATGCAAGCAAGCTTCTCACAGCTAGCATGCACCTTAAGTCAGCAAGCCCATTTTATATTCTTGTTCTGAATAGCTTCTTTCAATGAATATGGAACAGTATTCTAAATAATTTCATAATGTATGTATACTAGGATGAATTTGTCTTAAGTGCAGTTATGTTTTGACTATTTCCAAGTAAAAGTGCATTAAGAACATAATGAAGCCTGTATTTTTTGCACTGTCTCTTAATTTTATGGTGGACAAAGCACCAACTTCTGAAATTCAATAAAAGCAAACCTCCCTTTGTTGTTCAGATCTTAGCAATGGCTTTAGTAGTTTTAACTTCTTCCATTTTAAAGCCTTCCTTTCTTAGCCTGAAATAGCCAAAAATATAAAGGAAAGAGATCGTAAGTAGCTAATCAGATAAATGAAAACTGACTTAAAGCTAAGTTTTATTTCCTCTTTCTTTTCTTGAATTAGGTAATAACATCTCTACTTTGGATTATGTTCAATAACAAAAACAACAACAACAACAACAACACTTAAAAAAAAAAAACCCAAATTCCATGAAATAATAAATAGCTTATAATAGTATTAATATTCAAGAAAAAAATATAAGAAGTTTGGTATTTAAAACAAAACAAAAAAACCAAACTGCCTTCCTCATCTACCAAAATACAACATTAAGTAAAACTTAAAACAGGCAATTTACCACCTCCATTGAAATGAATACATGGTCTCTAATTTGTATATGTTGTATTCTAAATTAAGGACAACTGAAAATTAATATGTGCTTTCCACAAAAAGTGATATAAATGGTGGCTCAAGAGTTAACAGATGGTTCAACACTACAAGTCTTCTCAATAAAAAGCCTTTGTTAAACTTCAGTAATAGATATAGTATTTCCATTAGCAAAGCAAAAGCATTCCAATACTTATTAGGTTCTCTATCATCAGACATAGAAATGATCTAGAAAATAGAGATGTGTTGCTAAATCTCAAACAAGCGGGTTACTGATTAAAACAGATAAAAACACCCTTGAGACATCTCACATACAGAAAACATGGCCGTCTCTGGGTTGATTGACTGATTTTCCAGAAGTGCTGGGGTAGGTCTTCCTGATAGAGGGGTCCTGTAAGCGGCTGGTGAGGAGGACCCACTGCTTTGCCTACCAGTGAGGAGTGAGGCTTTGGGGAAGGACTATGCATCCATCACTCCTGATGTTCTTTCATGGCTCCGCTTCTCCTCAGCTATTGTCCATCTACCTGTAGATGGCAGCAAATAAATTATTTTAGCCCTTTCTTCTCATTTAGATATAAAGTGCAAATGCCTGATTCAGATACAAGACTGTATGGTCTTTGATTAAATGTATAATCAAACAAAAACCAAACACCGCATGTTCTCACTCATAAGTGGGTGTTGAACAATGAGAACACATGGACACAGGAAGGGGAACATCACATACTGGGGCCCATCAAGGGGTGGGAGGCTAGAGGAGGGATAGCAGGGGGTGGGGAAGGATAACATTAGGAGAAATATCTAATGTAGATGACAGAGGGATGGATGCAGCAAATCTCCATGGCATGTGTATACCTATGTAACAAACCTGCACGTTCTGCACATGTACCTTAGAACATTTTAAGTATAATAAAGAAAAGTATAATCAAACAAAAAGTATAAAAGATACCAGCTCCCTCATTTTTCCGGCAAGAGATACAGCCATCTGGAGAGGACTAGGGAAAGCTAAGGAATGGATTCACAAGAGAAGGGGAAGGGTAGAGGTAAAGCCGAGGTTTGAATTTTTGCTTAGTGCCAGCATTGTTCTGTAAACAAGCAACCTTAGATAAATGCATGCACACACAGGCATGGAGGAGCTCTCCAACATGGAATTGAAGTGAAACCCTGTCTCTATTAAATAAATAAAAAATTAGCCAGGCATGGTGGTGGGCACCTGTAATCCCAGCTACTGGGGAGGCTTGAGACAGAAGAATCATTTGAACCTGGGAGGTAGAGGTTGTAGTGAACTGAGATCACGCCACTGCACTCCAGCCTGAGCCACAGAGCAAGACTTTGTCTCAAAAAACAACAAAAATAAAAGCATTGCTACTTCATGTAACAAATTATGATTTGCACGTCTACTTTTACAACATAACTGGCACTTGTATAAAGGAGATTCTTTGTCAGGGACTGAATCAAGGAACTTAACACCCTATTCTGGAAAAACAAGTATGCAATACTAGTAGGAGGAAGAAGTCTATTTTCCTAGGCACAGGGCCTATCTTCAAGAAACTTTCAAAACAGGTAGTTAGGCTTTGGCTGGCTTCTACACCATCTGCAAACACCCAGGCTCTTCATGCAACCTTTAGTTACCTAGGGCTACCCAGTACCCTAAAGTGCCTTGCGCCTTAAAACTAACCTATTTCCTCCTTTTTCATTTCTACCCCTATAAAAACTACCTCTCTGGCTGGGTACAGTGGCTCATGCCTGTAATCCCAGCACTTTTGGGAGGCCGTGGCAGGTGGATCACAAGGTCAGGATATCAAGATCATCCTGGCTAACACAATGAAACCCCATCTCTATGTAAAAAATACAAAAAGTTAGCCAGGCGTGATGGCAAGTGCCTGCAGTCCCAGCTACTCAGGAGGCTGAGGCAAGAGAATCGCTTGAACCCAGGAGGCAGGGGTTGCAGTGAGCTGAGATCGTGCCACCACACTCCAGCCTGGGCGACAGGAGCAAGACTCCATCTCAAAAAAAAAAAACAAAAAAAACAACAAACCTTCCTTTCTACCAAGCCAGGCACAGTGGACTAACATCTGTGGTTCCTGTGGTTCCAGTGAGGCGGGAGGATCACCTGAGCCCAGGAATTCGAGGCAGCAATTAGCTGATTGTGCCACCACACTCCACCCTAGGTGACAGAACAAGACCCCACCTCTTAAAAACAACAAACAAACCAAAAAACGCAGGCTTCCTCTCAGAGAAACAGGGTGGGGCTCTATTTAGTAGAAGAGTCTCTTACAACAATCTGGGTAATGTATCAATAATTAGATAGTAAACGCCCCTCTCAGAGATATATATTTTCAGACACAAAGTTTAAAATCTCAAATGTCAACTGGTAGGATTTCAGGCAAAATAACAGAAAAGTAAAAAATAAAAATGGGGTTGTAGATCTATGCTGGGAGAAGAGGTTAATTTTCTAGGTAGTTCATATTAAGAGTGTGTACACAGCCCCTGTGGGTCATTTCTGCTTTCTGTGGCTTTCTTTAGCTAAGGACAGCAATTCAAAAAAATCCCAATGGTTGGAGAGCCTCCTCACCCACCCATCCTCCCAGCGAGAAAGAAGAATTTGTGGAGGGCAGGGGATATCACAAGAGAAAATGGCACACCAGGGTGTAATATCTCAAGTAAGAGGCTTACTTTACACTTAATACTAGTATATTACGTTCATAATAATATATAGTAAAATTATTATGTTATTAAAATATATAATAAGATCTTGTAAGAAACTCTGAATGGATTGGCGCTTGACAATTCTCAAGTAGAACACAATGAAACAGTAGTGATTGGCTAAGTTCCATCAATTTTTTTTAATTCTTTTTGACTTTTTCTCCTGGTCTTCTGTTATCCTTTCTGCAGGTCGCTTCTTCAACCCCTTCATTTTCCTGGTTTGTAGTTTGCTTAGGTCTTGCTTCTGCATATGAATCCTTCCATAAGTTGTGCCAAAAGTATCATGGGAGATATTTTTCTTCTTCTTTGGCTATGATAAAAGAATATGTATATATTTAATGTCCTTGTACTATAATGAGCCAGTAAAAACCTAGTCTGTAACAACTATCTTAGTAGCAATTTCTACTAGTGCCTACCCCTTCAATGACACAGAATGTATAGCCTTGTACACCTTTCTTCTCAAACTTAAGTGTGCATATTCTGTTATGCCAGCCAAAATAAATAAATAAATAAATTTTTAAAAACTTAAGTGTGCATATAAATCACTTGGGATCTTGCTAAAATACAGATCCTAATTCAGTAGGTCTGGGGTAGGGCCTGATACTCTGCACAATTCCCAGGTGAACTGCCAGATCACACTTTAAAAAATGAAACTATAGACTACACTAACCACTGCCACACAAGAGAATATCCTGTATTTAGCTTAAGGAGTTGTGACTATTATTTCAATTTTTACTGGCATTTTAGAGATTACATTTCTACTTGTCTTTTAAAATTACTTAAAAAGTCAAAACACATTTTATACACATATGGTTTATATACCCTGTGCTCTAAATCCCCAGTCTTCACAGTGTCCCAAACAACTCTTTTTTTTGCTGAAAACAGCAGTCTTGACTATCAGAAAGCACTCAGCCAAATCTCATGCCTGGGTTTTGCAACTCTTTTTTATTATCCCTTATTGTTGGCTTATTTGGTTCTCTCTCCTTTCCCTGGCTCTGAGAGTCCTAGTTTAATCTATTTTGTTGATTTCTTTATGTATGTCCTTGCCTTTTAGTATAATATGCCACAAATTCTTTCTGGAAAGAAAAAGGATTAAAGTAGAATATACAAATAAATATGGCACCAAGCTCTAAGTCACATACCTTGAGAGCTTTTGGCATTTTCATAGATAATTTATAAAGGTCATCCGATGCCAGGTGTGTCCTCCGCAGAACCAGATCCAATGAGGGTCCCATCTCTTCCAATTCAATCCGTGGTGTTCGGCAACCAGATTTTTTCAACAGCAGCCTTTAGGAAATAGGAAAAAAGAAATGTTGCTTTGACTTTCATAAAAGTCCTCCCCACCAAATATTTTTTGTTCGGGAGATTTACAGTTCCATCAAATGATATAAAATGTTTAGAAAGACTTACTTAAATACTTCATAAATTCAAGCCAAGTGTATCCTTTGGTTCACTTATTTTTATAAATCTTTTATCCCTTTCTGAGCTAAAGGGTCACACAAATATCAAACAAATTTTAAGAATTGTTTTCCCATTGAGTTAGTTTGCTTATTTCTAAAAATTAGAAATAAAATTATACAATATTGTTGAGAAACAGCAAGTGAGACATAAATTTCTTCTCAGAAATGAAATGAAATCCTTTCATTTGACTTCATCTTACTCATAGATTTATGTAACTATAAATAATTTTAATCGGCTTTCTCTTTGAAACTGTATGTTTACATGAATAACAAGTTCTTATCTAAGACTGCAGGAATTAAACCAACCCATTCAGAATCAACTTATCCTCATAGCACAGACATATACTAACTTCCTTACATTGAAGTGAGCTTTAAAATCTTAAAATAACAAAACCACAACTTTCTATATACCCTATGTCTAAATGGCTCTGGATCTGGAAACACTGGTGGAGGGGAACTGGGGAGTACAGGCAGGATAAAGTGATGGTGGAGTGGCCGGATGCAGTGGCTCACACCTGTAATCCCAGCACTTTGGGAGGCCAAGGCGGACAGATCACCTGAGGTCAGGAGTTCAAGACCAGCCTGGTCAACATGGTGAAACCCCGTCTCTACTAAAAATGCAAAAATTAGCTGGGCCTGTAATCCTAGCTACTCAGGAGATTGAGGCAGGAGAACTGCTTGAACCCAGGAGATGGAGGTTGTAGTAGGCCAAGATTGCGCCTCTACACTCCAGCCTGGGTGACAGAGCAAGACTCCATATTCAAAAAAAAAAAAAGTGATGGCAGAGTGAGGAAGAAGGGTGACTTGCAAATTCCTTTTGTGAATGGTACCACAAGAACAGCTGAATGAGCTAAAGATTATATTCAATTTGTTACCGTAGCCAAGTCTCTACAGGGTTGACTGAATGACAATGCTTATAAGAGATGAGCCTTTTCACACAAAAGCTGGAGTGCTAGAAAGGCAACAGGTGACACGAAAGAAGAGAATGAACAGAAGAGGAAAGCACTGTTAAGGAATACCCAAGAGAACAGCCAACAAGAGAAAGCAGAAATGAATGTGCAAAAGCCCGTTAACAGCCCTCAGGGCCCTAAATGCATCACAGGCAGGCAGCTTAGGGCTGAGATCAGCCCGGAGAAGCACATGTACTAGCTACAGGAAGAGTTATAGTAATAGATATGCTATATTAAACACATTGCAAGTTGAGTAACCCTTACCCAAAATGCTTAGGACTAGAAGTGTTCCAGATTTTTCTGAGTTTTGGAATATTTGCATTATACCACTTGAGCATCCCTAATCTGAAACTCCAAAATTGGAAGCGCTTTGGAGAATTTCCTTTGAGTGTCATGTTGACACTCAAAAAGCTTCAGATTTTGGAACAGCTCGTATTTCAGATGTTCAGATTAAGGATGCTCAACCTGTAATTTACACCAAATTAAATAAAGCAAAACAACAACAAAAAAACAAACCCAGCCTAGGGTGTACGAAGAGCAGAAGAGTTAAACAACAAAAAGTTCTAGTAACACTACAAGATAAAATGAATGTATATTTTTTTAGATGGAGTCTCACTCTGTTGCCCATGCTGGAGCGCTGTGCCATGATCTCAGTTTAGTACAACCTCCGCCTCCCAGGTTCAAACGATTCTCTCTCCTCAGCCTCCTGAGTAGCTGGGATTACAGGAATGCACCACCACACGTGGCTAATTTTTTGTATTTTTGGTAGAGACACGGTTTCACCATGCTGGCCCCCAGGCGGTCTCAAACTCTTGACCTCAAGCAATCCAATGCCTCAGCCCCCCCAAAGTGCTGAGATTACAGGTGTTAGACACCAGGCCCAGCCATAAAATTAATATTAGTATGACACTTAAAGGGGACAAGCATAGGGAAAGGACAGCGCACAGGAGAGCCCTTTTGCCTCTCTCTTCATAGTGATTCCAGGAGATGACACCTGACAGAGTATCCATGTCAGACCCATGGTGTGGGAAAGTGTTTTTAGAAGCTAAAGTTGACTGTTATTAGGGCATCCTCTCTAGAAGCTAATTCAAAGCATATGAGAAGCCGGGAGTGATGGCCCATGCCTGTAATCTCAACATTTTGGGAGGCCACGGTGGGGAAATTACTTGAGCCTGGGAGTTTGAGACCAGACTAGGCAACAAGGAGAAACCTTGTCTCTACAAAAAATTAGCCAGGAGTAGTAGTGTGTGCCTATGGTCCCAGCTACTCAGGAGGCTGAGGTGGGAGGACTGCTTGAGCCCAGGAGCCCGATCACACCACTGCACTCTGCACTCCGCAATCCAGCATTGGTGACAGAGCAAGATCATCTGAAAAAAAAAAAAAAAATGGAGACAGTGACCATTTGATTCTGTCATAGCACATGAACTTCTGCATTTGCATCTACACTTTTAGTGTCTCCAAATAAATTATATGCGTAATAGTGAACTAAAAGAGGTCATTAAAGAAAGATGTGTTTGGTATACTGGTTAAGAAATCGGGCCGGGTACAGTGGCTCAAACCTGTAATCCCAGCACTTTGGAGGCTAAGGTAGGTGGATCACGAGGTCAGGAGTTCGAGACCAGCCTGGCCAACATGGTGAAACACCATCTCTACTAAAGATACAAAAAATTAGCCGGGCATGGTGGCACACGCCTGTAATCCCAACTACTGGGGAGGCTGAGGCAGGAGAATCACTTGAATCTGGGAAGTGGAGGTTGCAGTGAGCCGAGATTGGGCCATTGTACTCCAGTCTGGGCAACAGAGTGAGACACTGTCTCAAAAAAAAAAAAGAAAAAAGAAATCAAGGATATGTATTTAAATTTTCAACTAAAATTTTTTCTTCCACTTAAAGTGCTAGTTAGAAAACTTGTCAATTCAAAACAGCTCATGGCATGTTTGATAGATTCACATCACCCAAGTATTACTATACATTACCAAAACTCCTCTAAAGCATCTTTTAATTAACTAAAAACAATTTTTAAAATTGATGCATAATAGATGTACACAGTTTCAAGGTGCATGTAATAATTTAATGTTGTGCCTTATTTATACAAGTGTCCTAATGAATAATTTTGAGTGATACATAAAATTAAGATTTCTAAATAACTATGTACAACTACCTACGTCGCTATTTTATTAAAGAATTAAGTTGTAATGCCATACTTGTCTGTGTAGATGATCTTATTTTAATCATTTCAGTGAGTGTGTTTACTGGCAGATCAAACTGATTTAAGGAAATATCTTCTAGCTTTTAGTTATCTGCAAACAGAGCCCAGTCCCTTCTCTCTCAGATGGGCTCAAGCTGGTAGATATGCTAACTGGTAATTTCTACATATTTTTAAATATTATTTGCCTATTTCTTGAGGAAGAGTGACATTACTACTACTGTTCAAACTGTAATTTCCTCATTTTCCTCCCTCTTATACACTTCTCTTTGGCTGAAGTTTTCATTAAGTAAACTCCTTTACTAGAATGTTGTGTTTGCTTTTTAAAGTATGCTAACACTTTCTGTTTTACATATTTTCCCCCATAAAGCCCTAACCATTGGGCAAAGGCACACCTAGCATTACTAATGATTTTGTTTCACATTAATGACTCTGACCCTGTAGTGAAAAAAATTTCCTAAGGGATATAAACAGTCAAGGAATTATAGAATGTAAGGAATTATAGAATATATAGAACAATGGTCATAACACTATGATTTATTCCCCCAAAAGATCATGTTAAACGTTATATTAATATAATTTCATGTTTACAGTTCCTTTTATCCAAAAAGCTCAAAACCATTTTATAAGCCTCATTAATCTTCACAAATAATGTGTATGAATATTAACTATTACCATTTGCAAATTGCTTAAGGGCTAATTTGCAGAAAGAGAGAAGGAAAGGGTTCCACAGTACAGCCCAAAGAATGCCTGGAGAGCTGAGTTAAGTCAGACGTACTTTCTGCCATATCCCCATCTATGAGTACCTCTTCACCCTTATAAAGAAGTACTGTCAATCTCAGGGGGACCTCAGAATCATCTAAATGTTATTGTTGCAGTTTGCAGAGGAAAGAATGAAGACCCTGAGAAGTGGTGACCTGTCCATGTCAGGTAGCTAATCCCAGCTCAGAGCCAGGTCAGTAGGCTGAGAGGTGATGCTGAATCCCAGGACCACCCCTTCCTCCCATCCTCAATGCTCCCCAGGTGTGGCACAGCCTCTGGAAGATAACCTGATCCACAAGTTTAGTGATTCTTTCAAGTAGCAGCTCACCCTCAATCACATTGGCCACCTTTTACTTCAAATCAATAGCTAACCAGTATTACAAGGCACATATGGCAAAGTATATACTAGGGTCTCTGATTTTAAATTCAAACTTTTTTTCGTTATGAAAGATGTCATGCTAGTGTAAAGGTGATTCTAGCAATCAGATTTTTGGTGGATCTATGTATTATATTCACACTACTAGTTTATTGTTTTGTGTGTGTGGATTTTTTTTTTTTTTTTTTTTTGCTCTGTCACCCAGGCTGGAGGGCAGTGGTGCAATCTCTGCTCACTGCAACCTCTGCCTCCCGGGTTCTCCTGCCTCAGCCTCCAGAGTAGCTGGGATTACAGGCACCTACCACCATGCCCAGCTAATTTTTGTACTTTTAGTACAGATGGGGATTCACCATGTTGGCCAGGCTTATCTCAAACTCCTGATCTCAGGTGATCCACCCACCTCGGCCTCCCAAAGTGCTGGGATTACAGGCATGTGCCACCACACCAGGCCAGTTTATTCTTGTTCTAAAGTCTGACTTGTTAATCCTCCATTTTGTTTTATTTGCTCTGTATCTTTCTTTACAAATAAATCCTTTTCACTAAACACAAGTTCTGATACAAGTGAATACTTTGTGAAAATGTTCAACACAGAAGAGTCTTAGACAATTGCTATTATTCATTTATCACTCTTAACGATTTATTTTATTTTTATTTCTGTTGTATCCTCTCTAAGTTTAACATAAGTGGTTTTTTTTTTTGTTTTTTTTTTTTTTTTTTTTTTTTTGAGAAGGAGTCTTGTTCTGTCACCCAGGCTGGAGTGCAGTGGTGTGAACTCAGCTCACCACAACCTCCACCCCCAGGGTTCAAGCAATTCTCCTGCCTCAGCCTACCATGCAGCTGGGGCTATAGGCCCCAATGTGCCAATACATCTGGCTAATTATTTGTATTTTTAGTAGAGATAAGGTTTCACCATGTTAGCCAGGCTGGTCTCGAACTCCTGACCTCAAGCATGAACTTGGCTCACTGCAACCTCCACCTTTCAGGTTCAAGCGAGTCTCATGCCTCAGTCACCTCAGTACCTGGGATTACAGGTATGCACCACCACACCCAGCTAATTTTTGTATTTTTAGTAGAGATGGGGCTTTGCTATGTTGGCCAGACTGGTCTCGAACTCCTGGCCTCAAGCAATCCACCCGCCTTGACCTCTCAAAGTGCTGGGATTACAAGTGTCCAGCCAATGTAAGTTTTGTTTTTTTGTGTGTTTTTTTGAGACACGGTCTCACTCTATAGCCCAGGCTGGAATGCAGTGGCATGATCTCAGCTCACTGCAACTTCTGCCTCCCAGACTCAAACAATTCTCATGCCTCAGCCTCCTGAGTAGCTGGGATTACAGGTGTGCGCCACCACACCCAGTTAATTTTTTTTATTAGTTAGTAGAGATGAGGTTTCTTCATGTTGGCCAGGCTCATCTCGAACTCCCGACCTCAAGTGATCTGCCTGCTCTCTGCAACCTCTGCATCCTGGGCTCAATCAATCGTCCTGCCTCAGCCTCCTGAGTATCTAGGACAACAGGTGTGCCATGTCCAGCTAATTTTTGTATTTTTATTAGAGATTGATTTCGCTATGTTGGCCAGGCTGGTTGTGAACTCCTGGCCTCAAGCAATCCACCCGCCTCCCAAAGTGCTGGGATTACAGACATGAGCCACCATGCCCGGCCTAAAAACATTTTGGTTAGTAATTTTTCATTTCTTGTTCTCTAAATAACAGTCTTCTACTCTATAGTATAATACATACTTAGAAGCCCCCAATCATATATAGAAACACAAACAGGAGACTTAAAGGGCTTTCTATCTTAACTAGCTTAAAATGACTATAAAGTCTCTAATTACATCTTATAATCATTAGATATTTTATTGCATTTTGCCTTATTATTTTATTTTTAATGAGAGGAAAAGAGAAAAACAGAAGCGGTGGTATTAATCATATGGAGAAAAAGAACTAAGTGTCTCTGACTTAATACAGTTGAGCCCAAGATGGAAATTATTAACTGACAAGAGGCGAATATTTAAGTTTCAGTTGGACATTCATTGGACATAAAGCCCTTCAGTCATGTATTTGTGAAGGAAAACAAAATAAAAGCCATGTATGAAATGCTAGATGCAAACAGCTGCACAACAGCACTACTGTACAGAAGACACTGTCAACACCATGCTATCAGCTCTCAGACTGCAACACCAGCCACACCATAGCTCAAAATGTACAACAAAATCTGAACTCAATGTATAGAGAAAGGAAATGTGTGGGAGTCAGTGTATTCTCTAGGAAACTGTGGGCTCTGTCAGCTAGTGCCAACACCTTAAAAAAGAGAAGTTGCACACTTACCTCAAGAAGCACATTTATAAGCATGTCAATAAATCCTTAATAAACATAGAATCTGCTAAAGATTTTTTTTTTTGAGACAGGGTCTCACTCTGTTGCTCAGGCTGGAGTGCAGTGGCACAATCATGGCTTGCTGCAACTTCCACCTCCCAGGTTCAAGTGATTTTTGCACCTCAGCCTCTGAACAGTTGGAACGGCAGGCAGGTGCCACCATGCTGGGCTAATTTTTATATTTTTTTCAGTAGAGAAGGGGTTTCACCATGTTGGTCAGGTTGGTCTTGAACTCCTGGCCTCAAGTGATCTGTCTGCCTCAGGTTCCCAAAGTCCTGGGATTACAGGTGTGAGCCACCATGCTCGGCCTGCTTGTTAAGATTTATACTGATATTGTGGTAGGGGTAGAAGGCCTAGGCTAGAGAGAGAGGATAAAATGAATCTAGCCACTGAATCTTCTTATTCCTTTTAGACTCAGTTTCTTAGACTTAGGGTTTTGAGAGCTGCTTTGGCCAAGGATTTCTGGCTTAGTGCTGTAAATCCAACCAGAACAATAAAGAGATACTGCATAAAGCTAGGAAGGGTTAGTGCACCTGGCTCAGAGAGTACAGCATCAGGTGCTCTGGGGCCCTGGAAAAGCAGGGCTTCAGACGCAAAGGACTGACGATCAACACAGAGCTGCTGCCACTGCTATCCTGCCAACTCTCCAAAATCCTTTTGGCCAGATACCAATTCTAAGTTTGGGATCTATAAAACAGTCACACTGTTTTAAACACTAACCTTGAGGATCAAGAAAATATGCTAAGAAATGCACTTACTTATAGCTTCGAAAGTAAATCTTCCCATTCAGTGCAGTGAAGTGCAGAACATACTCTAATCCAGCCAGGCGGATATTTGATACTGTGGGGCCTCTGAAGAAATCTAAAAACACATATTAAATTGTTAAAACAAAACAAAAAAACATACTTGCAAAATTCAGTTACTAAGAACTACATTCTAAACAGTTTTGCTCTAATACTTATCTAAAAAAGATAGCACAAAAAATGATTGCTGGAAAATGTCTGAAGGTCTCGCCCCTCAACCATTTAATCTCATGACTATTTCTGTGTTCGGTTCACTGAGACATTCAGTGTTCTCAGTTTTGAAGTTATCCCTGAGTCAGCTCAGCAACAAAAAATCATATCCATTACAGATATTAACCTTAAAAAATGTAAATCAAAGCATAAAATTTTAATCTACTCGTAGATGATGATAGCAAATTTCTATAAAAATGGCTGTTCAAACTGACTATTAAAATCAAATTAGCCTTAATTTTTTTTCTATGAGGGAGGCCAAGAAGAAAAAAGATTCTAATAAGAAATACTGATTATATGAGCAAAGGATAAGAAACTTTATCAACTGTTAATGCCAGAAAAGAACCTTGGAGATCGGTGATAGGCTCTTTTCTCACAAAGTGGTAATCATACCACTGGTGGCACAAAGCCAGATATAATTTACTATGTATTTCTTTTATCCTGTACCATTCTCCATTTACGATAGGGACAAAAGGTTTCCCTTTAAAAAGAGTAGTTGGCTGAGCGCAGTGGCTCACGCCTATAATCCCAGCACTTTGGGAGTCCAAGGTGCAGGGATTGCCTGAGGTGGGGAGTTTGAGACCAGCCTGATCAACATGGAGAAACCCCATCTCTACTAAAAATACAAAATTAGCCAGGCGTGGTGGCACATGCCTGTAATCCCAGCTACTCGGGTGGCTGAGGCAGGAGAATCAGTTGAACTGGGGAGGTGGAGCTTGTGGTAAACTGAGATCACGCCATTGCACTCAGCCTGGGCAACAAGAGCAAAACTCTGTCTAAAAATAAACAAATAAATAAAAGAGTAGTCAGCCGGGCACAGCGGCTCATGTCTATAATCCCAGAACTTTGGGAGACTGAGGTAGGTTAATTGCTTAACCTCAGGAGTTTGAGGCCAGCCTGGGCAACATGGTGAAACCCCATCTCCACTGAAAGTATAAAAAAATTAGGCGGGGCCGGGCGCGGTGGCTCAAGCCTGTAATCCCAGCACTTTGGGAGGCCGAGGCGGGTGGATCACGAGGTCAAGAGATCGAGACCATCCTGGTCAACATGGTGAAACCCCGTCTCTACTAAAAATACAAAAAGTTAGCTGGGCATGGTGGCGCGTGCCTGTAATCCCAGCTACTCAGGAGGCTGAGGCAGGAGAATTGCCTGAACCCAGGAGGCGGAGGTTGCGGTGAGCCGAGATCGCGCCATTGCACTCCAGCCTGGGTAACGAGAGTGAAACTCCGTCTGCAAAAAAAAAAAAAAAAAAAATTAGGCAAGCTATATTCCCAGCTACTGGAGAGGGTCAGGCAGGAGGATCACTGATTCTACCACTGTACTCCAGTGAGGGCGACAGAGCAAAACCCTGTCTCAAAAAATAAAATAAAAAGAGGTGTCAATTAAAAGAAAATCTCCAATGAACGGCACGCTACGGATACTACACGGACTTGGCTATGAAAGAAGTTTGGAAAACAAATGCAGTATCTTAATTTTACAGCTGAGAAAATCGAACTTTCAAAAGGCTAAATGTGAATTCATGAATAACATTTGACGAAGATAAAGCTCTATATAAAAGTTTATCCAAGTTTGCTTAGGAAGAGCTACCCAAGGCAGGTGATGTAGCAAGCAGGAAATTCTATCTGGTCCCATTCTGTAGCCACCTAGCATTTTCCTTCCTTCTTCCCATTAGCCTGTAAAATGAAGATTATCTCCATTTGCAGAGATGTACACATCTTTTGTCATCTGCTTTTCCTTTCTTGTAATTAACCAAAAGAAAATCACAGCATTAATGTGTACAAAACAAACACAAGCGTACAAGCACATTTATACACCTCCCTTCTCTATTCCCCCAAACCAAAAAAACCCCAATGGACATTTTTAATTTTTAAAAAATGTACATATATTACCTATATTTATACATATATAAAGATGGGGTCTCACTATGTTGCCCAGGCTGGTTTCAAACTTCTGGGCTCAAGCAATCCTCCTGCCTTGGCCTCCCAAGATATTTTAATCTAAATATCACAATAAAGGGCTTTCCTATGATTTTGCCAAAGCCTGACTCTCCTTCAGAGGCCAAGTTAATGAAGCCCACTCATTGGTACGGCATTACTGAAGTCATAGTTGTTCTGGGGGACAAAATATATACATTCCAGTCTGCTCTGAAATAACTTTTTTTTTTGAGACAGGGTCTCCCACTGTCCCCTGGGCTAGAATACAATGGCACAATCTCGGCTCACTACAACCTCTGTCTCCTGGGTTCAGGCAATTCTCCTGCCTCAGCCTCCCAAGTAGCTGGGATTACAGGTGCCCACCACCAAGCCCAGCTAAGTTTTTGTACTAGAGATGGAGTTTCACTATGTTGACCAGGCTGGTCTCAAATTCCTGACCACGTGATCCATCCGCCTTGGCCTCCTAAAGTGCTGGGATTACAGGAGTGAGCCACCACACCTGGCAAAACAACTTTCATAAGGCAAAATTTTCAAGGCATCTGTGCTTTTTCCGTAAGCTTTTAAGAATGATACAAAGGGAGAAAACTTTAGGAACACAATAAGCACATAGAAAAGTACTCTTTATTAAGTGAAAATTTCTAAGGCTGTGAATATAAAAGAATTTTCGATCTGTATCCAATAGTTGTAAGTAGTCATCCTTTTATTACTACATTTTCTCTTAACCACCAAACTGAAATCTCACTAAAGTTAAAACCGATATCTCACTAAAGTTCGAAATGCATCCAGGTAACACAAACAAGTAATGAATGAAAATGGGAGGGCATAAATGGTAGCGCTTAGTAACTGAAAAGCAAATATGTCTAACAGCATGATATTTTCTGGCTAGAAAACAACAGAGTATTGTTTACACATGAATACCATTGGAAAGAATCCATTCACTTAACAAATTGTACCAGAGCACCTCTTATGCATAATGATAAATGACATACAGCATCTTTCTGCCATGGACCCCACACATTCTAGGTAGATATGAATATATATAAACAACTGCAATTTAAAGTAGCACATTAAAAGGAGAACAGTATAAACTGTTCTGGAAGTTCTGAGGAGGGAAAGATCATTTCTAGTTGGGAAAGATCTCATGCCAAGTGGCATATACACTGTTAGGGTTTCAAATACGAAATAAGTATGATAAATAACTCTTTATGAAGAACCTGAGAACCTAAAGTATAATAATATTGTATAAATAAAAGCATGGCCAAGTGCAGTGGCTCATGCCTGTAATCCCAGCACTTTGGGAGGCCAAGGCAGGTGGATCACCTAAGGCCAGGAGGTCAAGACCAACCTGGCCAACACCACAAACCCCTATCTCTACAAAAAATGCAGAAAGTATCGAGGCATGGTGGTGTACGCCTGTAATCCCAGCTACTCAGGAGGGTTGGGCAGACGAATTGCTTGAACAGCTGACACAGAGGTTGCAGTGAGCCAAGATTGCACCACTGCACTCCAGCCTGGGCGACAGAGCAAGACTCCATTTCAAAAAATAAATAAATAAATAAAAAATAAAAGCATGTTGGCTTATTAGTGGCATTAAGGGGAAAAAATTTTTTTTAAAAATAATAAATAAATAAAGGCATGTATTTTGGAGAGACCTAAGTTCAAAACTTTAATATGCCACTTGGTAAATGCATGACCTTAGAAAAGGTACTCACCTGTCCAGGCCTCGGTTTTCTCAATCATGTAATAAAAATCAGAATTAAAAATTTCTCTACTCCAAATTAAAAAAAAAAAACAACTACATATATAGTATGCTACCATTTAAGCAATAAAGGGGCTGGGTGCAGTGGTCTCACACCTGTAATCCCAGCATTTTGGGAGGCCGACGCCGGCAGCTCATGAGGTCAGGAGATAGAGACCATCTTGGCCAACATGGTGAAAACCTATCTCTACTGAAAAGACAAAAATCAGCTGGACATAGTGGCGCATGCCTATAATTCCAGCTACTCAGGAGGTTGAGGCAGGAGAATCACTTGAATGAGGGAGTTGGAGGTTGTGGTGAGCCAAGATCGCACCACTGTACTCCAACCTGGCGACACAGCAAGACTCCATCTCAAAAAAAAAAAAAAAAAAAAAAAAAGAAGGGAAGAATAGGCCAGGCACATTGGCTCACACCTCCAACTTTGAGACGCTGAAGCTGGAGAACTGCTTGAGCAATGTAGCAAGACCTCATATCTACAAAAAATAAAAAGAATTAGCTGGGCATGGTGACATGTACCTGTGGTCCCAGCTACCGAGGGGAACGAGGTAGGAGGATCACTTGAGACCATGAAGTTGAGGCTACAATGAGCCATAATCATGTCACTATACTCCATACTGATCAACAGAATGAGACCCTGTGTCAAAAAAACAAAAACAAAAAAAAACAGATGGAAACAAAATTCAGAATGAGTAAAATGGGTATCTTACGTGAAAACAAAAAAAATGTCGGCCAAGCATGGTGGCTCACGCCTGTAAATCCCAGCACTTTGGGAGGCTGAGGCAGGCAGATCACCTGAGGTCGGGAGTTTGACACCAGCCTGATCAACATGGAGAAACCCTGTCTCTACTAAAAACACAAAATTAGCCAGGTGTGGTGGCACATGCCTGTAATCCCAGCTACTCGAGGCTGAGGCAGGGGAATTGCCTGAACCCAGAAGGCAGAGGCTGTAGTGAGCCAAGATCACGCCATTGTATCCAGCCTGGGCAACAAGAGTGAAACTCCATCTCAAAAAAAAAAAAAACAAAGCCAATTTTTCTTTTTGGTCAATTATTCGCACCAAAAAAAAAAAAAAAAAAGGAACTTCCTAAACAAAAGTCCTTCATATATTTCTTGTTCCCTACTGATATTTCATTTGAAACACACAACATAAACTAAGGAGCAGCTGTCTTACTTCATATGTACACTGAAAACCCAACTTCCCTTGGTCCCTTACAATCTGAATCTATTCCTCTTCTACTTTTCTGCTTCTGTCCAGATTCCTTTTTGGTTTTCACTCTCTTCCCCTCATACTGAATTATGTGGTCATTCCTGCCATCTAGTGGAAGCACAAAATAATGAGAAGGTAGGGCTTACTAAAATACAAAAAGCATTTAAACAAAAGCTCTCTCTATTACAACAAATTTTAAGTATCTGCCTCACTGACAACAAACAATTATATGGAAGACCTGGGGGAAAGGGAAAAAGACAGAAAACGTAGGTCAATGGAGTGCAAGTAATGGAAATCTTAGTTGAAAATCTGGCCGACATTTTGGCTGAAAAAATACCCTGGTCAGGCATGGTGGTTCACGCCTATAATCTCAGCACTTTGGCAGGCCGAGGCAGGCAGATCACTTGAGGTCAGGAGTTCGAGACCAGTCTGGCCAACATAGTGAAATCAAGTCTTTAATAAAATATAAAAACTTAGCAGGGTGTGATGGCATGCACCTGTGGTCCCAGGTACTAAGGAGGCTGAGGCAGAAGAATTACTTGAACCTGGGAGGTGGAGGTTGCAGTGAGCTGAGATCATGCCAGGGCAACAGAGTGACACTCCATCTCAAAAAAAAGAAAAAGAAAAATATCCTTGATACTTTGGGATATATAATATTGAGAGAAGGAAATATTGGTCACTGTCTTTCATGTGTGAATTTAATTCATGGAAAATATGGATAAGAACCTAGAGAAAAAGACTCTAGAAGGGATCATGGGAATATGCTCACCACAGGCAAGATAGACAGCAGGGAAAGAAAAGCTCAGGCTTTGGAAGCTTTGGGTTTCAACTCAAAGCTTAATAGCTCTTATTTAACCTCTCAGAGCCCTCGTTTGTTTTCCCATCTGTAAAATGGGAATGTCACTGAACTCAAGAACTTTTGTAAAGATTAAACAGATAATAGTGGTTCTTAGTTTCTTTTTTTAAAAAGTACTTATTACTAATAAGGGAAATAAATTCTAAAAATTATAATCCCAAAAATGGCTACTTTTTACTTCATTACCATTAATGTCCTACAGATAACCCATATCTACCTCACAAGGTTCTTGTTAGAATGAAGTAGTGTATATGAAGTGCCTACTATATGCTTGGCACTTAGGATGATGATGGTAAGGAAGTAAAAAGGAGCCGGGGCCTGGTGCTGTGGCTCATGCCTATAATTCCAGCACTTTGGGAGGCCGAGGGGAGTGAATCACCTGAGGTCAGGACTTCAAGACCAACCTGGCCAACATGGCGAAACCCTGTCTCTACTTAAAAAAAAAAAAAAAAAAAAATTAGCCGGGCGTGGTGGTGGGCACCTGTAAATCCAGCTACTTGGGAGACTGAGGCAGGAGAATCACTTGAACCCAGGAGGCGGAGGTTGCAGTGAGCTGAGATCGAGCCATTGCACTCCAGCCTAGGCAACAGAGCAGAAGTCACTGAGGCCCTCCTGGAAAAGAAACTTGATCTGACACTTAAATGAATGGTAGAAACCAGATAAATAAGAATGATACCAGAATAGACAACAGAAATGTGAATAATATATTGGCAATAAACGCTTTTTTAATGGGGAAAAAAAAGGGAAATAGGAGACCAAGAAGGCAAGTTACATTGGCTATATACTGTGAAAGGCCTTGTATATTCAAGTCAGAAAAACTAATAAAGATTTTTGAGTTGGAAGTCGGTGATACATACAATCTTGAAATTTTAATCCCTCAACCTTCTAAATTTAATTTGAAATCATGCTAGGAATGACAGGAGATAGGTGCAGGAATTTTTATAAGACACTACATAAATAATATCTTAGTTACTAATTTACATCCAGAGATAATCATCTACACAGTACGACAGCCCCTTTAATTCTCGTGAGATAATTAGGTACTTTCCTGTTGCTGGTAAGGGGAAAAAGAAAGAGAGGTCCAAGAAAAGGAGAAAAAGGAAGTTGTGCTCGCTTCGGCAGCACGTATACTAAAACCGGAACCATACAGAGAAGATTAGCCCCTGCACAAGGATGGCATGCAAATTTGTGAAGCACTCCATTATTTTAAGTATATAAATATTATTTTAAAAATAAGAGAAAAAAGAAGTTAGAAACCTAAAGTGGCAAAGTGCCACCAGTGACAGTCTGAGACTGCCTTCCTAAGCTATCCTGTAGATAATAAATACTAAAATACTTACCAATAAGAAGACTTTTTAGTCTTCTATAATCTTCTGTTACATCAAAATCATCACCAGCAAATATTAACATGGGTTTTGTTCCCTCAGGGCATTTACTGTTCTAAAAAAAAAAAAAAAAAAAAAAAATGCAATTATATAATTACCAAAGTCTAAACTGTTTATGTACTTTTATTTTATTTTATTTATTTATATTGTGAGGCAGGGTCTCACTCTGTCACCTAGGCTAGACTGCAGTGGCACAATCTCGGCTCACTACAACCTCCGCATCCCAGGTTCAAGCGATTCTCCTGCCTCAGCCTCCCAAGTAACGGGGACTACAGGTGCACGCCACCATGCCCTGCTAATTTTTTTGTATTTTTTGTAGAAACTGGGTTTCACCATGCTAGTAAGGCTGGTCTCAAATTTCTGACCTCAAATGATCCACCTGCCTCAGCCTCCCAAAGTGCTGGGATTACAGGTGTGAGCTACTGTGCCTGACCTATACTGACTTCAAAGAAGTCAATACTTATTTATTTTTCAATTCTATTAACTGTCCTAAAACTATGTCTGTGAATACTGATATTAGAGGTAAAAACAGAGGTAGGATTTTTTTTTTTTTTAAGAGACAGGGTCTCGCTGTGTTGCCTAGGCTGGACTCAAACTCCTGGACCCAAGCCATCCTCCAAGTAGCTGGGACTATAGCTGCGGATCTGGCTAAGATGACATTTTTAAGCTTCTGGACTTCTATATTAAAAAAGCCATTATTTGTCCCACTCATTTACATTACCAAATAAAAGATGGCAAAAGAATCATATAATTTTTTTAACATTAGTCTATGCAAATAATAATATTAAACATTATGCTCGCAAAACCAAAAAAAAAAAACCAAAACAGGACCAACCAACAAATCAAAAATAGCCTTCTGATGGCCAGCATCCCAATCAAAATAAATTTAAGGCCAGGTGTGATGGCTTATGCCTATAATCCCAGCACTTTGGAAGGTCAAAGAGGGAAGACAGCTTGAAGCCAGGAGTGAGTTCAAGACCAGCCTGGGCAACATAATGAGACCTCACCTCTCCGAAACAACTTTTTTTTTTTTTTGAGACAGAGTTTTGCTCTTGTTGCCCAGGTTGGAGTGCAATGGTGCGATCTCAGCTCACCGCAATCTCCATCTCCCAGGTTTAAGTGATTCTCCTGCCTCAGCTGCCTGAGTAGCTGGGACTACAGGCATGTGCCACCACACCCAGCTAATTTAGTATTTGTAGTAGAGACAGGGTTTCTCCATGTTGGTCAGGCTGGTCTCGAACTCTCAACCTCAGGTAATCTGCCCACCTCAGCCTCCCAACGTGTTGGGATTACAGGCATGAGCCACCACGCCTGGCCAAAAGAAAACTTCTAAAAATTAGCTGGGCATGTTGGTGAGTGCCCACGGTCCCAGCCACTTAGAACTTGAGGTGGGAAGATCTCCTGAGCCCAGGAAGTGGAGGCTGTAGTGAGCCATGATCATGCCACTGTACTCTAGCCTGGGTGACAGGGCAGAACCTTGTCTCAGCGAATAAATAAATAAATAAATTATAATTTGTACCACTGTGCCTTTCCTATAAAAGGAAAATACCTATTTTACAGGAAAATACCTTTTATATATATATGAAAGGCACAGTGGTACAAATAAAATGATGTTTTTAAGTTTCTAGACTTCTATACTAAAAAACCACTATATCATATAAAAAGTATTTTTAAATGAAGGCTATGGGCTGGGCACGGTGGCTCACACCTGTAATCCCAGCACTTTCAGAGGCAGACATAGGCTGATCACTTGAGGTCAGGAGTTCAAGACCAGCCTGGCCAACATGGTGAAACCCTGCTTCTACTAAAAAATTACAAAAATTAGCCAGGTGTGCCGGCATGTGCCTGTAGTCCCCGCTACTCAGGAGGTTGAGATAGGAGAATCACTTGAACCGGGAGGTGGAGGTTGCAAAGTGTTGAGATTGCACCACTGCACTTCAGCCTGGGTGACAGAGCGAGACTCTTTTTTTTTTTTTTTTTTTTGAGACGGAGTTTCGCTCTTGTTACCCTGGCTGGAGTGCAATGGCGCGATCTCGGCTCACCGCAACCTCCGCCTCCTGGGTTCAGGCAATTCTCCTGCCTCAGCCTCCTGAGTAGCTGGGATTACAGGCACGAGCCACCATGCCCAGCTAATTTTTTGTATTTTTAGTAGAGACGGGGTTTCACTATGTTGACCAGGATGGTCTCGATCTCTTGACCTCGTGATCCACCCGCCTCGGCCTCCCAAAGTGCTGGGATTACAGGCGTGAGCCACCGCGTCCGGCTAGAGCGAGACTCTTATCTCAAAAAAAAACAACAAATAAACAAACAACAAAAAAAAAATTCACAAATAGCCAGGCATGGTGGTGCACACCTATGGTCCCAGCTACTTGGGAGGCTGAGGTGGAAGCATCACCTGAGCCCAGGGAAGTCCAGGCTGCCGTGAGCCATACTCATGCCACTACACTCCAGCCTGGGATACAGAGTGAGACCCTCAAAAAAACAAATAAATAAAAATAAAATGAATGCTAAATTAAACTACCAACTAGACATTCACATGAGAAGCAATATAATTTTACATAAGCTATAGAAAGTATAGGCCAATTCTCATCAGCAGGATTGAGATTCTTACTATGAAAAGTATTTTCCCAGGCCAGGTACAGTGGCTCACGCCTATAATCCCAGCACTTTGTGAGGTGGGTGGATCACGAGGTCAAGAGATTGAGACCATCCTGGTCAACATGGTGAAATCCCATCTGTACTAAAAATACAAAACTTAGCTGGGCATGGTGGCGCACACCTGTAGTCCCAGCTACTCAGGAGGCTGAGGTAGGAGACTTGCTTGAACCCAGGAGGTGGAGGTTGCAGTGAGCCAAGATCACACCATTGCACTCCAGCCTGGGTAACGAGCGAAACGAAACTCAGTCTCAAAAAAAAAAAAGAAAAAGTATTTTCCCCAGTTCTAGATTTTCTATATCAAATAGAATGTGATGTGATTAAAAAGATGATTTAGAAGCCACCAAAGAGAAATAAATGAAACAGTAAAAATTCTTTAACTGAAGGAGTAATTTACAGAGGAAGGTGAATGACTTTTGGTCTGAGCTTCCTATTAATTCTCTGTTCTGACAAAAAATCAAGGACTATCCAAAATTCAGCAACAAAACAGTACAAAAACCAAGTACCCTCCGCCCTAGGACCAGAAGTCACCTGTTGCTTTGCTGCTCACTATGACCACTCTTGTTGACATTCTCTGCTTCCAAACCCTGAACCTTAACTGTCTATACTTAGGAGATGGAGATGTGCCTAACATCTGTCAGACAGAGAAGTTGAAAGGACCTTCCAGATCTAACAACTCTTCCATGCTTCCAGCCATGCCATTCTGACCCTCAGTCTAAGGGGTCTATTTAGGTGTACAGAAGGGAACAAAAAGCATCATCAACAACAACTTCTGGCTTTCAAACCATCCTGACCATAATGTTTAGTAGTTTTGAAAAAATTTTGAAGTTGTCACCCAAAATATTTTGAAGTTGTCAACACTAAAATACAAATAAACACAAGTTATGTGAAATAATACTTGGGTGGGCACAGTGGCTCACACCTGTAATCCCAGCACTTTGAGAGGCTGAGGTGGGTAGATAATTTTAGGTGAGGAGTTCAAGACCAAACTGGCCAACATGGTAAAACCCTGTCTCTACTAAAAATACAAAAATTAGCCAGGTGTGGTGGCACATGTCTGTAATCCCAGCTACTTAGGAGGCTGAGGCAAGAGAACCACTTGAAGCCCGCTGGTGGAGGTTGCAGTGAGCCAAGATAGCACCACTGCACTCCAGTCTAGCAACAAAGCAAGATCCTATCTCTAGAGAAAAACCACAATACTTAATACTTACAGCACTGATATTTTTTAATCTATTCTATTTTTAAAAAATACTAGTCTCATGCACATCATGAAAACCCTGAACTAGGTAGGAGACTACAACAGATGAGCTGGTTGGGCACGGTGGCTCACACCTATAATCCCAACACTTTGGAAGGCTAAGCTGGGAGGATCACTTGACCCCAGGAGTTCGAAACCAGCTAGACAACATAGTGAAACCCCCATCTCTACAAAAAATTTATAAATTAGCCATCTGTGGTGGTGCATACCCATGGTCCCAGCTACTCAGGGGGCTGAGGTAGGAGGATTGTTTGAGTCCAGGAGATCAAGGCTACACTGAGCTGTGATGCCACTGCACTCTGCCCTGGGCAAGAGAGCAAGGCTCTGTCTCATAACAAATAAAAAAATTTTTTTAATCATATAATATTCCAAAAACTTTTTTTTATTAAGAAATGAGGCCTCGACAGGGCACAGTGGTTCATGCCTGTAATCCCCACACTTTGGGAGGCCGGGGCATGAGGATCACCTGAGGTCAGGAGTTCGAGACCAGCCTCACTATCATGGTGAAACCCTGTCTCTACTAAAAATACAAAAATTAGCTGGCGTGGTGGTGCACGCCTGCAGTCCCAGGTACTCAGGAGGCTGAGGCAGGAGAATCGCCTGAACCTGGGAGGCACAGGTTGCAGTGAGCTGAGATTGCACCACCTGGGCAACAAGAGGAAAACTCCATCTCAAAAAAAAAGGTTTTTGGAGAGGTGAGGCTGTGAGAGCCTGGCCTGGGGTCCAGTTCAGAAGCGCACAGTGACTGGTATTTGGAAGTGAAATGGAAAAAGTAGAGGGGCTGGCATGTGCTCATCAGCTAGCACTCCCTCCCACTCCCACTAAGCTGATGATGAGCCAGTGGCAGTGGTAAAGGTAAAATGGAGTTTTGCTGGTCATCTCCAGGGATTTCTGGATGGCCCCAAAGAGACACTACAATAATATGGCAGCTGGGTACCCCAGCACTTTGGAAGGCTGAGGCAGGAAGATCTCTTGAGCTCAGGAGTTTGAGACCAGACTGGGCAACATAGTGAGAGCTTATCTTACCAAAAAAATTAGCCAGGCAAGGTGGCATGCACCTATAGTCCCAGCTACCTGGGAGGCTGAGGTGGGAGGATTGCCTGAGCCCAGGAGGTAAAGGCTGTACTGAACTGAGACTGTACTACTGTTTCCCAGCCAGGGTGACAGAGTAAGACCCTGTCTCAAAAAAAAAAAAAAAAGGAAAAAGAAAGAAAGAAAAATAGTATGAGGGCTTCCATTGTAATCAAGCATCACAGTTTATGTACTTTACAAAATACTTTACAACATATTATCTTTACTGATAAACATTTTCATATATATTATCTCATTTGGTGGTGTTATACTTATTTTATATGTGATTGCAACTGAAGGTCAAGGAAGCCACTGACACGTCACAGCACCAGATGTCACTTGAATAGCCAACACAGGCCTCAAATCCAAGTGTTCTGCCTCTAAATCCAATTTCAGACCACTGCTCTGCCTGTAGAGCAGGACACTGCAGTGACTCACTAAATGGGGATCTGGTAAACACCTTTTATTCCAAACTCACAGGATAAAGTTACTTAATACAGGAATTCTACCCAACCTGGAAAGCACATCTTCTTCTTAAAGTCAGGCTGGGCAAAGAGTGATTATATATTTTTGCTGTAATTCTTTCTACTAGACCATGAGCCTCAAAAACCCATAAACTGAGAGCAGTTACATAACTTTCTATTACAAACAAAAATATCACTTCTCTCAAAGCCCTAGAGTCCTAATCTTGGTTACACTGACCATATGTGTTTTTCTCATATATGGGCCTCAATCTCCAAATCTATACAAAAAAGAAAATTATTTAGGCCTTATCCAAATGGCTGTGAGGTCTAGGTAAAATAATGTATCTGATGGGATAGATTAAGCCTGAAGCAGAGTTCTGAGTTTGTACCTAGGAGCTGAGTTAGAAGCAATTTGTACCTAGGAGCTGAGTTAGAACACTCTTCCCACCTTTCCAAGAGTATTTTTACTACTATTTACTACTTTCTATTTCATAATACCACTAAAACAAAGACAACACAAAGACACAATTCCCCAAGGGTGAACTGAGCTGCCATTTGGTGGTTAGCAACCAAAATACTATAGTATCTATCAGTAAAGACTTTCCTGGGTTTAGAACAGGGCTCAATTTGAAAATTCTGCAGGTTTTTCTCAGGTTCCATAAAATAGGTGCTGTGATAATTCAGAGGAAGAGGACAGCATTTAAACTACAGGCCTGGGGTGCTCTGGCTCACACCAGGCAGAGAGATCCCTTGAGCTCAGGAATTTGAGACCAGCCTGGGCAACATGGCAAAATGCAGTCTCTACAACAGAAATATAAAAAAATTAGCTGTACGTGCTGGCATGTAGCTATAGTCCCAGCTACTTGGGAGGCTGAGGTGAGAGGGGATTGCTTGAGCCCAGGAGGCTGAGGCTGAAGTAAGCCATGTTCATGCCATTGCTCTCCAGCCTGGGAGACAAAGTGAGACCCCGTCTAAAAAAATAAATAAATAAAAATCAAACTATGAAAAAAGCAAAAAAAAACTTTAAACCATGGCCTAGACAAGAATTAGTAACCACAGTCTGAAGTCTAACAGCCACAAGGTCAACATATGTTGCTATGCACTACAAATATATTCCTCTTTTTAAAAGAAAGGTAAAATAAAATTGCATTTTTTTTTTTTTTTTGAGATGGAATCTTGCTCTGTCACCAGGCTGGAGCACAGTAGTACAATCTCGGCTCGCTGCAACCTCCGTCTTCTGGGTTCAAGCGATTCTTCCACCTCAGCCTCCCAAGTAGCTGGGACTACAGGTGTGCACCACTGCACCTAGCTAATTTTTGTATTTTTAGTAGAGACGGGGTTTCACCATGTTGGCCAGGATGGTATCGATCTCTTGACCTCGTGATCCGCCCACCTCAGCCTCCCAAAGAGTGCTGGGATTATAGGCGTAAGCCACCACACCCAGTCTAAATTGTATTTTTATCCTAGAGCATATCAAAATAAAAACAGAATTTGGCCACGTGTGGTGGCTCATGCCTGTAATCCCAGCATTTTGGGAGGCCATGGCGGGCAGATCACAAGGTCAGGAGTTAGAGACCAGTCTGGCCAACATGGTGAAACCCTGTCTCTACTTAAAAAAAAAAATTAGCCAGGTATGGTGGCAGGCACCTGTAATCCCAGCTAGTCGGGAGGCTAAGGCAGGAGAATTGCTTGAACCCGGGAGGTGGAGGCTGCAGTGAGCTGAGATCACACCATTGCATGCCAGCCTGGCGACACTCGGTTTCAAAAAAAAAAAAAAAAAAAAAAAAAAACCCAAACAAGCAAAAAAACAAAAACACAAAGCTCTTGATCTACAATACTCTATCAGCACTCTTCACCACAAGATGTCACTACTGGCCAAGGGAAGCATTACAAAATATTTTCATTTCTATGATCAGTATCTTACCTTAATGTCTTTTAGAGAGACAAAATTCTCAATACCTAATTCAATCATATCCAGCACATGGTAGTCATACATACGACCTGGAAGGAAAATGTATTTTTAAGCATGTATTTTTTTCCCAAAGAGCCACCTTACATGTACCCACGGGATCTGTGTGTTCAAAATGTCCCACTATCTGCCTCTTTTCTTTCTCCCTACATCCCTCCAAACATATCCCACTTTCTTACATTTTCAACTCTACTTATTGATTGTACGATGTTAATCATGGAAAGGATCTTAGATATTACTTAGCCCAACCCCTTTATTTTATAGAAGAATCAATGACAGCCCACAGAAGGTAAAGAGCTTGCCTAAGCCAGTGAGCATGCCAGGCTCAATCTCAATACACCGAGGCAAAGGTTCTTTTTCAAATCTATTTATGCAGTAGGTATTACAGAAGGGTTAATTTTTGTGGGTCAATACACTTTTTTTTTTCTAACTCTAATATTGATTTAGTACATATACATTTCATATTAAAAAAAATCTATAACTTAGGGTAATTTTTTCCACCAATTCCAGTGGATCCATGCTGTGGATCAGATCAGAGACATTCAATGCAAGCACAAGGTAATGGTGCTGCATCTACAACTAAATAGGCAGGGATGCTGAGAGCCCGAAGAGGCCACACTTCCTGTTCAAACCAGAATTCAATTCTGACAGAGACAGAAGGCAATGGCATCCTAAAACATGAATTACCAAGGAATCTTTTCATTATTCTTTCTTACTTGTGGCACTTCACTGTATTGGCAGGGTCTTATTTATATGCCCCATGCTTTACTTGCAGACTGATATAGAATTTTTTTTTTTTTTTTTTGAGATAAAGTCTCGCCCTGTTGCCCAGGCTAAAATGCAATGGCATGATATCGGCTCACCACAACCTTCGACTCCCGGGTTCAAACAATTCTCCTGTCTCAGCCTCCCATGTAACTGGGATTACAGGTGTGCACTAACATGCCTGGCTAATTTATATTTTTAATAGAGATGGGGTTTCTCCATGTTGGGCAAGCTGGTCTTGAACTCCCAATCTCAGGTGATCTGTCGGCCTCGGCCTCCCAAAGTGCTGGGATTACAAGCATGAGCCACTGTGCCCAGCCATGCCCAGCCTGATCTAAAAAAAAAAATTTTTTTTATAAAGTGTTCTAACTTTATACTATTTTTTTCTTATTTAAAAAAAAAAGAAAGAAAAAGAAAAAAAAAAGAATAATGAAAAAAAAAAGAATAATGAAAAAAAGAATGAAGGAGAAGAAGAAAGAGGAAGAGGGAGAGAGAACGGGGGTATTGCTTTATTGCCCAGGCTAGAATGCAGTCTAAAAATGGGTGTGCCTATAATTGTGCTTTAATAATGGAGACATGAAAAAAATGAGGGAAGAAAATAACAAACAAGCAGCCAACCAATATTTCATTTAAACCTGTAAGTAGGTGTGATGTGGTATTGATAAGAGTGTGTATTTTGTGTATTTAAAGTGGAGAGTTCTATAAATGTTAATTAAGTTTACTTGTTCCGGATCTGAGTTCAAGTCCTGGATATCATTGTTAATTTTCTGTCTCATTGATCTATGTAATATTAATGTTGATGTCTCCCACTATTATTGTGTGGGAGCCTAAGTCTCCTTATAAGTCTTATATATCTGGGTATTCCTGTATTGGGTGCGTATATATTTAGGATCTTTAGCTCTTCTTGTTGCATTGATCCTTTTATTATTATGTAATGTCCTGCTTTGCTTCACTTGATCTTTGTTGCTTTAAAGTCTATTTTTTCAGAGGCAAAAATTGCAACTCCTGCTTTTTATTTATTTATTTATTTATTTTTGCTCTCCATTTGGTTGGTAAATCTTTCTCCATCCCTTAGTTTTGAGTCTTCATGTATCCTTGCATGTGAGATGGGTCTGGATGCAACATGCCAATGGGTTTTGGCTTTTTATCCAATTTGCCTGTCTGTGTCTTTGGATTGGGGGATTTAGTAAATTTAAATTTAGAATTAATAATAATACATGTGAGTTTAATACTGCCATTTAATGTAAGCTGGCTGTTTTGCCCATTAGTTGATGTAAATTCTTCATTATGTTGATGCTCTTTACTTTTTGGTATTTTTTAGAAAGGCTGATACTGATTGTTCCTTTCCATGTGTAGTACTTCTTTCAGAAGCTCTTGTAAAGCAGGCCTGGTGGTGATGAAATCTCCGAGTGCCGGCTTGTTCACAAAAGATTTTCTTTTTCCTTCGCTTATGAAGCTTAGTTTGGCTGGATGTGAAATTCTGGGTTAAAAGTTCTTTTCATTAAGGATGTTGAATATTGGCCCCCACTCTCTTCTGGCTTGTAGGGTTTCTGCTGAGAGATCTGCTGAGTCTGATAGGCTTCCCTTTATGGGTAACCTGACCTTTCTCTCTGGCTGCCCTTAGTATTTTCTCCTTCATTTCAAACCTGGTGAATCTGACGATTATGTGCCTTGAGGTCGGTCTTCTTGAGGAATATCTTTGTGGTGTTCTATTACCTGGAGTTGAATATTGTCCTGCCTTGCTAGATTGGGAAAGTTTTCCTAAATAATATCCTGAAGCGTATTTTCCAGCTTGGATTCATTCTCTTCGTCACATTCAGGTACACCTATCAAACGTAGATTAGGTCTTTTCACATAGTCCCATATTTCTTGGAGACTTTGCTCGTTCCTTTTTATCCTTTTTTCTCTAATCTTATCTTCTCATTTTATTTCATTAAGTTGGTCTTCGACCTCTGATATCCTTTCTTCTGCTTGATCAATTCAGCTGTTAAAACTTGTGCATATAGGTATTGATCAACTTACGACCTATGCAACTTAACAGCCATTCGACTTTACGACCACAATCGCTATCCACAACTGCTCCGCGTCTGGCAGTGCAAACGTTGCCCAGCTGGGCGTACGACAGTGCGGACCAGCTTCCCGTAGCACTACCATCTCCGTGTGCATACAGCCTACTCAACTTACGACCAAATTGTGTTACGACTGGTCTGTCGGAACCAATCGTGGTCGTAAGTCGGGCACTAGCTGTACTTCGTGAAGTTCTCGTGTTGTGTTTTTCAGCTCCATTAATTCACTTACATTCCTCTCTAAATTGTGTATTCTTGTTAGCATTTCGTCAAACCTTTTTTCAAAGTTATTAGTTTCTTTGCATTGGGTTAGAACAAGTTCTTTTAACTCACAGAAGTTTCTTATCATCCACCTTTTGAAGCCTGCTTCTGTTAATGGAACACACTCGTTCTCTATCAGGCCTTGTTCCGTTGATGATGAGGAACTGTGATCCCCGTCTTTATAATTGGGTTTCTGAGTGGACGTCCAACTTGTTGATTCCCAGCACCAGAATCTGAGCAACCCACTGCGCCAGCTAAAACAGTGGCATTAAGATTGATGGTGCTTTTCTGACTCTGCACCAAGAACCTCTGCACCGAGGCAAAACCACCTCGACGGTCACAAGAGTCGTGCAGGCGACCCGTGGGGCTCCTCCGCTGGGAATCTCCTGGTGCATGACCAACAAAAATTCATCTGAAAGTGTGGCATCCTCTCGTTCTCTGCGCTTTCACTGGGAGCTACAATCCCAAGCTACTAGTGATCAGCCATCACTAAAAATTTTTTTTGTGTCACAAGGTGAAAGCAAAAAGACCCCACCAAACTAGTTTACAGCTTATTGATTACTCCTGATTCCTCAACACCATCAGTTAATCTGAGTCACAGATCTTGTTACAATAGATAGGCAGACATGTGCAAGACAGGAGAGGCGGCCCACTCACCCCACCCCAACCAGGAATGTCAGGCAACCATGAAGTGATAGGCAACCATCAGGTGATGATCAGTTGCTAAACTCTCTAAAATAACAATTGGTTGCAGCCAGTGCCAGGGAAAGGCAGGCTCCCAAGAAATAGAAAACACCCGAGGCTAGTGATTAGCAATTTCCCAGTAAGATCTCAGGAGTTGAGTGAGTGGGCTCAAACATGCAAACTAGAAGGCAAAATGGCAGACTTTAACAGGTATATGACCTTGCTCTACGCTTCATATGAGCATCCATACCACTCCAGTAACACACTGTGCATGTGGCCCCTCCCAAGTGCTGGCAGGCCACTGTGCAGGCAGACAGCTCGTCCCAAGGAAAAATCAAGGGAGGAGGCCAGGCATGACAGTTCACACCTGTAATCTCAGCACTTTGGGGGGCCAAGGCGAGTGGGTCACTTGAGGTTAGGGGTTCGAGAGCACCCTGGGCAACATGGTGAAACCCTGTCTCTACTAAAAATACAAAAATTAGTTGGGTGTGGTGGCGGGTGCCTGTAGTCCCAGCTACTCGAGAGGCTGAGGCAGGAGAATTGCTTGAACTCAGGAGGTGGAGGTTGCGATGAACTGAGATTGAGCCATTGCACTCCAGTCTGGGCAAACGAGCAGAGCAAGACTCTGTCTCAGAAGAAAAGAAAAAAAAAAGAAAAATCAAGGGAGGAGAGACAACAAACCCCTGAAGCATACCAACATATAATGCCAAACAGCACAAAGGCCAAATAGCACATTTGAATCTCTCAAGTTGCCTGCTTGGCACTCTTCCTTTGGTTCCTGCTCTATAACTTTTCTTTTCCTTGAGACAGGGTCTCACTCTGTCACCCAGGCTGGAGTACAGTGGTGGGATCTTGGCTCAATGCAACCTCTGCCTCCCACGTTCAAGCGATTCTCATGCCTCAGCCTCCTGAGTAGCTGGGACTACAGGCATGCGCTACCATGCTTGGCTAATTTTTGTATTTTTAGTTGAGGCGGGGTTTTGCCACATTGGCCAGGCTGGTCCCAAACTCCTGGCCTCAGCCTCCCAAAGTGCTGGGATTACAGGCATGAGCCACCATGCCCAGCCCCTGCTCTAAAGCTTTTTAATAAACTTTCACTCCTGTTCAAATACTTGCCTCACGGAAGTTGCAGTAAGCCAAGATCACGCCACTGCGCTCCAGCCTGGGTGACAGAGTGAGACTCCGTCTCAAAAAAAAAAAAACTTGCCTCAGTCTCTCACTCTGCCTATGCCCCTTGGATGAGTTCTTTCTCTGAAGAGGCAAGAACCAAGCTGCGGCAGACCCATACAAATTCACTGCTACTAACCAGTTGACTCTTAGTGAAAACATTAAAAAGTAAATTATACTTACCTATGACTAGATTATTTGGCCGCTTCTTATTATGGGAGCCAAACATGAATAAAGAACAATCTGACTTCTTTGAAAAGAATTCCTATAAAACCAAATAATCCCATTTAGTCAACGCATCCATTTAAGAACTTTAAGAATCTTATCTTTACAGCTTTTCAGAAACAAAAAGAAAAAAAAAAAATGGAGAAAAAAAAAAAGAATCTTACCTTTAAACTCAGGCCTGGCTCAGTGGCTCACACCTGTAATCCCAGCACTTGGGAAGCCAAGGCGGGTGGACTACTTGAGGTCAGGAGTTTGAGACCAGCCTGGCCAACACGCAAAGACACTGTCTTCACTAAAAGACAGCTGTGTGTGATAGTGCATGCCTATAATCCCAGCTACTCTAGTGGCTGAGGCATGAGAATTGCTTGAACCCAGGAGGGAGAGGTTGCAGTGAGCCGCGAACGTGACAATACACTCCAGCCTGGGGGACAGAGTAAGACTCCATCTCAAAAAAAAAACTATACCAGTTTTTTCTCCAGTGGAATTTAATGAAGACTTAATGAACCAGAAAGGAAAATACAGAGGAAAAGTATTTCTAGCTTTCTACTTCAAGTTTTCTGATTTGGGGTACTTAGGGAAAAGATGTACACATGAAAACTATTAGGTTAATAAATAAAATTAGACCATTTATTTTGCTATGCTGTCATTTTGGAATAGTACACCAAGTGTTTCATTTGCTGAACTAATCTCTTTTATTCACAGGATAGCATTACTATCATTGCACACATTTAAAACACACATGGGGTTGGGCAAAGTGGCCCATGCCTATAATCCCAGCACTCTGGGAGGCTGAGGCAGGCAGATCGCCTGAGGTTACCTGATGTCAGGAATTTGAGACCAGCCTGGCCAACATGGTGAAACTCTGTCTCCACTAAAAATGGAAAAATTAGCCGGCTGCGGTGGCATATGGCTGTAATCCCAGCTACTCAGGAGGCTGAAGCAGGAGAATTGCTTGAACTTGGGAGGCAGAGGTTTCAGTGAGGTGAGATCATGCCATTGTACTCCAGCCAGGGAAACAAGAGTTAGATTCCATCTCAGAAAAAAAATATATATATATCTGGCTGGGTGCAATGGCTCAAGCCTGTAATCCCAACACTTTGGAAGGCTGAGGTAGGTGGAAGGCCTGAGATCAGGAGTTTGAGATCAGGAGTTTGAGACCAGCCTGAGCAACATAGTAAAACCCCGTCTCTACAAAAACTACAAAAAATTAACTAGGTACAGTGTTGAGCACCTATAGTCCCAGCTACTTGGCTGAGGGGGGAGGAAGGATTGCTTGAGCCCAGGAGATCAAGGCTACATGCAGTGTGCCGTGATGGCACCACTGCATTCCAGCCTGGGTGACAGAGCAGCACCATCTTGGGGGAAAAAAAAAGAAAGAGATTTTATCCATTTGGCTCTCACAAGTATGGACTACTTCTACAGATTTAAGAGTAGTAAAAAATATGAGTGTGGAGTTCCAATCCTAGGCAGCTCTCTTTACATTATGCCTACAGTCTCCACATCCCAGACACTTTACTGCAATCACCACTCTTAGCCAGAAAATCGGAATCAACATGTTTTAGTCCAAAAGTCAATTGGAAAGCCTCTTAGATTAATATATATATTTAAAAAAAGAACAGATGAAAGAGTCATAACCCTCAACTTTTCTTTACTGCTTAAAGGACTCTCTGAGGTATGGGCCCTTGGTTTATCATTCATTCTAGTCTCTAAACAGAAGCATAAAGGGCAAACAACTCCCCACCTGACCCGTCCACAACCAGCGTGAGGGATGCAGAGTCAGAGAGTCCAAGAATGCAGGCTCTGCCACTAAGTATCCAGACAAATAATCTTTTCTGAGAATTAACTGTATCATTAAGGATAACACCACCTCTTGCAAAAACCTGCAAAGGCCACATGAGATGTCATATGTGAACACCTTGTACAATGTTGTAGAATGTCCCGAACAAAGTAGGGGTTCAAAAAATATTTTTTATGGCCAGGTGTGGTGGCTCATGCCTGTCATCCCAGCACTTTGGGAGGCTAAGGTGGGTGGATCGCTTGAGCTCAGAAGCTGGAGACCAGCTCGAGCAACATGGCGAAATCCTGTCTCTACTAAAAATACGAAAAAATAGCTGGGTATGGTGGTATGCACCTACGGTCCCAGCTACTCTGGAGACTGAGGTAGGTGGATCACTTGAACCAGGGAGGCGGAGGTTGCAGTGAGCTGAGATGCCACCATAGCACTCAAGCCTGTGTGACACAGACCCTGTCTCAATTAAAAAAAGAAAAAAAAAAATATATATATATATATACTTTTTTGTATGTCTAAATCAATGGAATTACTTTCTTAAAATTTTGAAAACATTCTTAAAATTTTAAAAACATTCTCATGTTACAACTAACATCCCAAAGCTTTCCATAAAACACCCTTCAGATATACTTGAGTGTTTTATATACATACACACGTGTGTGAATATGTGTGTGTGTGTGTAAACTTATCTCGTTCTCGACAAAATCTGCTTTTTATTTCTTAAAAGTCTTGAGCAGGGATAGTCAAGCTATCTACAAAAAGCTATATAATAAATATTTCAGGCTCAACCTTTAGTTGTTAACCAACTCTTCTTTTTTTTGTTGAGACAGGTTCTCACTCTGTTGCCCAGGCTAAAGTGCAGTGGTGTAGTCATAGCTCACTATAACCTCAAACTCCTTTGCTCAGGTGATCCTCCTGCCTCAGTCTCCCAGGTAGTTAGTACTTGGGCTCCCACCACCATGCCCTGCCAATCTTTTTATTTTTATTTTTTTAAGAGATGGGATCTCAATATGTTGCGTTAGGCTGGTCTAGAACTCCTGGCCTCAAGCAATCCTCCTACTTCATTCTACCAAAGCTTGGGATTAGAGGTGTGAACCACTGAGCCTGGCCTAACCAACTCTTTAAAAATGTAAAAACCATTCTTAGCTTATGAGCCTCACACAAAGAGGAATTTGGTCTGCAAGAAGCATATTTTTGCCAACCCCTGTTCTAAAACAGCAAAGCTCATTTCTCCAAGACTGTAGTGAAAGAAATGTGTGGAGAGGGTCGGAAAAAGACAATTGACCACTGTTTCTAACACAACCACTCTTTCCCTAGCCATTTTTAGCTCTGTAGGTCTGGGATTCATAGAGCTAATAAATATATCCTGTACCTGGAGGTAGGAGATCAAAGAAAGGGAATGTCACAACCTCAAGTACAGGAAAAGCTGCTGTATCAACACTAGACTAAAAAAGTTCAAAGTGCTAGAGAATTCACTACATAACACTACCACAAAGTGGTCGTGCAACTAAAAGCATTATAGTATCAAAAGACAAAACCAGGCCTTGATTAAGTGGTATATGAAAGAGAGAATCCTGAGATAAATCTTGTATTTTGACTTACATGATCTTTTCAACAAATGATTATAAAAAACATGAGACAAAGTAATTTGAAAAAACTGAGCAAAATGTACTTTATCAATACTTTTCTTAATTTTCACTGCAGTTAGTTACAATAAGATATTTGATTTAATCAAATTAATCATTGAGATTTTATGCAAAAGTTCTTTCAAATTCACTAACTAAAAGGAAAAAGAACATTAAAAAGGTCAGATGGGCAGATCATGAGGTCAGGAGATCGAGACCATCCTGGCTAACACAGTGAAACCCCATCTCTACTAAAAATAAAAAACTAGCTGGGCATGGTGGCGCATGCCTGTAATCCCAGCTACTCATGAGGCTGAGGCAGGAGAATCACTTGAACCTGGGAGGTGGAGGTTGCAGTGAGTTGAGATCACGCCATTGCACTCCAGCCTGGGTGAGAGAGTGAGACTCCGTCTCAAAAAAAAAAAAAAAAAAGAAAGAAAGAAAAGGAAAAAAAAACAACAAATAATGGGTTCCTGGTTGGGTATAATTACAGCCGTAAGCCCAGCACTTTAGGAGGTCAAGGCCGGCAGATCATTCGAGCTCAGGAGTTTAAGACCAGATTCGGCAACAACATAGCAAAGCCCTGTCTCTACAAAAATTAGGCAGGTATCATGCCGTGCACCTGCAGTTCCTGTTTCTGAGGTGGGAGAATGGCTTGAGCCTGGGAGGTGGAAACTGCAATGAGCCAAGGTCATTCCAATGTACTCCAACCTAGGCGACAGAGCCAGACCTTATTTCAAAATAAATAATGGGTTCCTATCAAGAAAACATAATCATATTGTTTTTATTTTTTATTTTTATTATTTAAATAGAGATGGGGTCTCAATATGTTGTCCAGGCTTGTCACGAACTCCTGGGCTTAAGCGATCCTCCTGTCTTGGCCTCCCAAAGTGCTGGGATTACAGGCGTGAGCTACTGTGTCCAGCCCCTGATGATTTTCTTAAGGAAGAAACCAATATCATCACACACTGAAAGTCCATTCATCATTCCTCATTTACTATAAACAACCTTTGATTTCACTTTCTAGTCTTTTTCATTTTGTTGACTACACAAACAAGAATTTGATTAGCTCTGGCAAAGCAGGTGACATCTGTTAGCAATAATTCAGGTAGTGTTCTTTGTTTTAAAAGTATCCCAGCTGGGTGTGGTAGACACCTGTAGTTCCATCTACTTGGGAGACAGGCACTGCTTGGGCCCAGAAGTTTGAGACCAGCCTGAGCAACATAGCAAGACCCAGTCTTAAAAAAAAAAACAAGCAAAAATATCTGAAGGAAGAGTCATATTTTTAAAAACTCAAAGTTGCTTTATAAAAATAGATCTATAGCAAACTTCTTTTAAAAATTCATTATGTTCTTTAAATGAAATTCTTTTTTTTTTTTTTTTTTTTTGAGACAGAGTCTCGCTCTGTCACCCAGGCTGGAATGCAGTGGTGCTATCTTGGCTCACTGCAACCTCCACCTTCCAGGTTCAGGTGACTCTCCTGACTCAGCCTCCTGAGAAGCTGAGATTACAAGCAGACACCACCACACCCAGCAAATTTTTTTTTTTTTTTGTACAGACAGGATTTCACCATGTTGGTCAGGCTGGTCTTGAACTCCTGACCTCATGATCTGCCCACCTCGGCCTCCCAAAGTGCTGGAATTATAGCTGTGAGCCACCTTGACTGGCCTAAATGCAATTCAATTTTTAAAAATTTTATCAATAAAAAATGTTGTCAATGCAGGCAATGAATAACACATTTTGCAGCCATAGTGAAATGAAAGATCTATAGGGAAATTTTTAAAAGTATTTCATCTCCATTTTACATCAAAATTCCCTCACATAGGATAACTTTTAATTTAAAAAAATCACAAATTGGCCGGGCGCGGTGGCTCAAGCTGTAATCCCAGCACTTTGGGAGGCCGAGGCGGGTGGATCACGAGGTCAAGAGATCGAGACCATCCTGGTCAACATGGTGAAACCCCGTCTCTACTAAAAAAATACAAAAAATTAGCTGGGCATGGTGGCACGTGCCTGTAATCCCAGCTACTAAGGAGGCTGAGGCAGGAGAATTGCCTGAACCCGGGAGGCGGAGGTTGCGGTGAGCCGAGATCGCGCCATTGCACTCCAGCCTGGGTAACAAGAGTGAAACTCCGTCTCAAAAAAAAAAAAAAAAAAAAAAAAATCACAAATTTGGAGTACAAATGAATTCATCAGGATAATTATTATTTATATGCTCTCTTAAATCATATTCTTTTACTTACCAGTGATGTCTGATCCTCAAAAGGTCTTGTAATATTTTTCCTAAGAATATCAAAAAAGTGACCATAATTTTAATAATCTCAAGTATATACAATTAATATATTAAGGTAATTTTGTATTCAGATTTAAAAAACTGAAAAAATATTCATTCAATTAAAAAAAAATTCATTCAATTCAAAACAAATTCAAATATTTATTCAGTGCCTATTATATGCCAGGCACCATTCTAGTAACTAGTGATCTTATACTACTACATGAAACAAGATGCTGGCTTTCATGGAGTTTATACTCTAGTGGAAAAATACAGTCCTCTGTCCATATGGATTCTGCATCCTACTGCATCCATGGATTCGAAAAACCACAGACTGACAGTATTCGATAGACGAAGGAAGTTCGGGATTACAGGCGTGAGCCACCACGCCTGTAATCCCAGCACCTCAGGAGGCCAAGGCAGGCAAATCACAAGGTCAGGAGTTCAAGACCAGCCTGACCAATATGGTGAAACTCAGTCTCTACTAAAAAAAACAAAAATTTGTATTTGTTTTGTATATACCACTGGGCATGGTGGTGGGTGCCTGTAGTCCCATCTACTCGGGAGCTGAGACAGGAGAATCACTTGAACCCGCAAGGCAGAGGTTGCAGTGAGCCAAAATGGTGCCACTGCACTCCAGCCTGGGCAACAGAGCAAGACTCTGTCTCAAAAAAAAAAAAAAATAGTGTTCAAAAAAAAATTAGCCAGGCACAGTGGCTCATACTTATAATCCCAGCATTTTCAGAGGTTGAGGTAGAAGGATTACTTTAGGCCAAGAGTCCAACACCAGCCTGGGCAACAAAGCCAGATCCCACCTTTACCAAAGACGAAAAACAAAAATTAGCCAGGTGTGGTGGTGTGCACATGTAGTCCCAGCTACTTGGGAGCTTGAGACAAGAGTATCACTTATTGCTCATGAAGTTAAGGCTGCAGTGAGCTATGATCATGCCACTGCACTCTACCTTGGGCGACAGTGAGACCCTGTCTCTAAAAAAAAAAAATTAAGAAATAAAAAAGATAGTCTTCTATTATCCTTGAAAAGGAAAAAAAGAAAAGAAATTAAAAAGAAAAGCAAGAAAAACCAGATAATACAGCGTTATAACTATTTACACAGCATTTACAATATATTAGATATTATAAGTAATCAAGAGATGATTTAAAGTATACGTGACTTACTTTTATGGGAAGCACATTTTTAAAAGAAGTATACAGGAGGATGTGCATGGGTTATATTCAAATACCAGGCCATTTTATGTAAGAGACGTGCATTCCCAGATTTTAGTATCTAAGGGGAGGTTTCTGGAACCCATCACCCACAGATACTGAGGGATGACTAGCTTATTCCAGGGCTGTGGTAAGGAGAAAGACAGAGTATTTTGTGGTGTCAGAAAGTAAGGAAGTACTCAAAAACGGGGGGCATGTCGAAAGGTCATATGAACCAATCTAAAAGCATTCCCAGCTGGGTGTAGTGGCTCACGCCTGTAATCCCAACGCTTTGGAAGGCCAAGGCCAGTGGATCACCTGAGGTCAGGAGTTCGAGACCAGCTGAGGCAGGAGAACCACTTGAACCCAAGAGGCGGAGGTTGCAGTGAGCCGAGATTGCGCCACTGCACTCCAGCCTGGGCTGGACTCTGTCTCAAAAAAAAAGAGTTCCCAATTGCCAAAGGCAGAAAAATTTAAGAGACAAAATTAAGAACACAGGATTATAATCCAGAAGAATACACGAGGAAAGTGCAACATTTTTGTAGCGTTCTTGACAACATGCTTAACCTCAATCAATTCATGATTCAAGAGAAAAGTTAAACCCAAACTGAGGGATAATTTACAAAATAACTGACAAGCACTTTGTCAAAAATGTCAAGGTCATCGAAGACAAGGGAACACTAAGGAACTGTCACAAACTAGAAAATGCTAAGGAGGCATGAAAACTAAATGCAACATGGGATCCTGGAAGAGAAAAGAGTATTAAAAGAAAAACTGGCCAGGCACAGTGGCTCACACCTATGATCCCAGCACTTGGGGAGGCTGAGGTGGATGGTTCATGAGGTTATGAGTTTGAGACCAGTCTGGCCAACATACTGAAACCCCATCTCTACTAAAAATATAAAAGATTAGCCAGGTGTGGTGGTGTGTGCCCGTAATCCTAGCTACTCGGGACACTGAGGCAGGAGAATCAAGTGAACTGGGAGGTGGAGGTTGCAGTGAGCCAAGATCACGCCAACTCTAGCCCAGGTGATAGTTCAAGACTCCATCTCGGCCGGGCGCGGTGGCTCACGCTTGTAATCCCAGCACTTTGGGAGGCCGAGGCGAGTGGATCACGAGGTCAAGAGATCGAGACCATCCTGGTCAACATGGTGAAACCCCGTCTCTATTAAAAATACAAAAAATTAGCTGGGCATGGTGGCACGTGCCTGTAATCCCAGCTACTCAGGAGGCTGAGGCAGGAGAATTGACTGAACCTAGAAGGTGGAGGTTGCGGTGAGCCGAGATCGCGCCATTGCACTCCAGCCTGGGTAACAAGAGTGAAACTCTGTCTCAGAAAAAAAAAAAAAAAAAAAAGACTCCATCTCAAGAAAAGAAAAGAAACTGGGCCGGGCGTGGTGGCTCACACTTGTAATCCCAGCACTTTGGGAGGCCAGGGCAGGCAGATCACGAGGTCAGGAGATGGAGACTATCCTGGCCAATATGGTGAAATCCTATCTCTACTAAAAATACAAAAATTAGCTCGATGTGGTGGCTGTAATCCCAGCTACTCGGGAGGCTGAGGCAAGAGAATTGCTTGAACCAGTGAGTTGGAGGTTTCGGTGAGCAGAGATCAGGCCACCGCACTCCAGCCTGGCAACAGAGCAAGACTCCATCTCAAACTTAAAAATTACAAAAATTAGCCAGGCATGGCTGCCCGCACCTCTAATCCCAGCTACATGGGAGGTCAAGGCAGAAGAATTACTTGAACCCAGGAGATGAAGGCTGCAATGAGCCAAGATCATGCCACTGCACTCCAGCTGGGCGACAACAGAACTCCATCTCAAAAAGAAAGGAAAAACTGGTACTAACCATATGTCTGTAATTTGATTAACATGAGTGAATCAGTGTTAATTTCTTAGTTTTGATCACTGCATACGGTTATGCAAGATGCAACATTAGGGGAAGCCAGGTGAAGGGTATACGGGAATTCTGCATTATTTTTGCAACATTCTGCAAATTTATAATTATTTCAAAATACAATATATATGCTATGGTTACAACTATGCAAGGACATTCAATACAAATGAAAAAAAAAAAGACCAAAAGAAAAAATTATAACATTAAAAACTGTAAGGAATTTTAGTGTATTTTAAAAAATTGTTTTCCAAATCTTCCATAAAGTGGTTACTTTTATAATGAAACAAAACATTTAAAATACAGTAAAAGAAATCATGACTTACTTTTTATACAGTACACTGTATGGTTTTTTCAGTGCATACTGTAAAACAAAATTTATAGCTTTCAAAACAAAATACATTCTGAAAAGCAGAAATAAAATTAAGCATCATAACAGTCACTCTACAAGATTGCTCTGGGCCCTGAATCTTGTTCTGATGCCCTCTGCTTGGCTCCCTTCTGATCACTTACAATAACTTGTGACATAAGCTTAGCATTCCCTTATTAGACTTTCAATATAAAAGTTTCTATGCCCTTTCCATAGTCCATCAAACTTAAACAATTTCCTTCATTTCTTTAAACTTGACTTAGTCCATTCTCTCTCTAGGGAAACAATGTCAGGTGCAGTGGCTCCCGCCTGTAATCCCAACACTTTGGGAGGACGAGGCAGATCGCTTGAGCCCAGGAGTTCGAGACCAGCCTGGGAAACATGGCAAAACCCTGTCTCTACAAAAAACTGCAAAAATTAGCCAGATACGGTGGTGCACGCCTGTAGTCCCAGATACTTGGGAAGCTGAGGCAGGAGGATCACCTGAGCCCAGGAAGTCGAGGCTGTGGTGAGCCGTGACCACGCCACTGCACTCCTGCCCTGGTGACAGAGGGAGACCCTGTCTCGGAAAAAAAAAAAAAAAAACGTAGACAAAACCACAAAAACTAAATTCTATCAGGAAAGGCTGATAGATTGAAACAATGTTGTGTGGAGATAAGAAAACTTAGAAACAGTCACGATAACAATCAGAATACTAGCCAGAGTTTAAACACAGCACTTTAAAAAATGCCCATTATTCAACATTCTTCTTTTTAATTTCCTACTCCTAACGATCCACTAATAATCATTCTTTTTTTTTTTTTTCCTTGAGACAGGGTCTCACTCTGCCGCCCAGGCTGGAGCTCAATAGTGTGACTAAAGATTAATGCAGCCTCAAACTCCCGGGCTCAGGTGATCCTCCAATCTCAGCCTCTCATGTACAGACACATGCACCATGCCCAGCTAATTTTTGTATTTTGAGTGGAGATGGCGTTTCATTATGTTGTCCAGGCTGTATTTTATTATTTTTAAACATTGAATCTATAGAGATAGGGTCTCACTTTGTTGTCCAGGCTGTTGTCCTGGGTTTAAGTAATCCTCCCACCTCAGCCTCTCAAAGTGCTGGGATTACAGGTGTGAGCCACCACACCTGGCCTATAATCATTTACTAGTTGTATATCAGTACTGCTTTACCATAGAGAATAACAAAAATATCAGGTACTACCTTGCGTTAGAGAAATGAGTAAATGAGGGAAACAATGAAAAATAAGGTACAGAGATCATTCATCAACTATCAGAGTTGGTGAACAAAGGAAATGCAACAGTAAAATCTACCTTTTTAAGTACTAAAAACTTTCCACGATTCTTGGCCAACTATTTCCCTATTTCTATGTAATAAACATTGCTACCTTTTCTTGATAACTCAGAGTCATCATGATGAATTTTAATTATCGTAGTAATCTGTAATATTGTGCTGCTTTTAAAGCTTACTTAAAGATGTAGGGTCATTTTGCTGACAGATACTGAAAGGAGAGGGGCAGTGTCCTATCAACACAATGACACTCAGACAAACATTTCAAAAAAGGGATGGGCATATATAAGACATTCAGACATCTGAACTGACTATGCTTATCAGGTATAGAATTTAGTCAAGTTTAAAAATGAATTCAAGGCCAGGCGTGGTGGCTCACGCCTGTAATCCCAGCACTTTGGGAGGCCGAGGCAGGTGGATCACTTTAGGTCAGGAGTTTGTGACCAGCCTGGCCAACATGGTTAAACCCCATCTCTACTAAAAAAAAAAAACACAGGGCTGGGCGCAGTGGCTCAAGCCTGTAATCCCAGCACTTTGGGAGGCTGAGGCGGGTGGATCACGAGGTCAAGAGATCGAGACCATCCTGGTCAACGTGGTGAAACCCCGTCTCTACTAAAAATACAAAAAATTAGCTGGGCATAGTGGTGCGTGCCTATAATCCCAGCTACTCGGGAGGCTTAGGCAGGAGAATTGCCTGAACCCAGGAGGCAGAGGTTGTGGTGAGCCGAGATCGCGCCATTGCACTCCAGCCTGGGTA